GAAGGAAGGAAGGAAGGAAGGAAGGAAGGAAGGAAGGAAGGGAGTATAGATAAGGAGAGAGAGAGAGAAAGAAGGAAGGAAGGAAGGAAAAAAGGAAGACCAAAAGGAAGAAAAGAAGGAGGGAAGAAGGGAGGGAGGGCAGAAGGAAGTTTGGTTTAAGAGGGAGAGATGTCTCTGGAAAAACTTCAACCCCTAACCAGGGATGAGCCTGGATTCAAGTTCAAATTTAGCTAATCTCCAGATTGTACATCCAGTTCTGGTCCCCATCTTTCAAAAAGGACTGGGATAAATTGGAACGAGTTCAGAGAAGGGCTCCCAAATGGTGAATAATCTGGAAATGGAGTCCTGTGTGTTCAAATTCAGGAAGAACTTCCTGAGTGGGTGAACTGTGAGCCAGCAGAACTGGCTGCCACATGAAAGGTGAGCTCCTCCAAAGAGAAGCTGGATGATGACATTTATCAGCAAGGGTCTGGTGTAACGTTTCTTAACCTTAGCAACTCTAAGACAGGTGGACTTCAACTGCCAGAACTCCCCAGCCAATACGCCACTGTTTTATATTCAAACACCTTGCTTATTTTTTGTTTTCATATTTATTTCAGAGTTATCAAAAGTGTCTTAGTGTAGAGAGAACCAAAAGAGCTCGGGAGAAAATATTTACCTCTGAGAAAAGCAGCACTGTGATTTCCAGCCATTAACTCCGCATATATTATGCAAAGAATATCAAGTGGAAACAGAAACAAGCCATTTTGCTTAATTTGGTTTGGCTACGAAAATGGCCCCATTTTTCATTTCTGAAACCAATCAAGGAACAAGGAATTAATTTGGCCTTAATTTGGAGAGATGCAAACTAGAACTAAGAAGGAATTTTCTGACAGTGAGAACAATCAATTAGTGGGCTCGCCTCCAGAAGTTGCGAAGGCTGCACTGGAAGTTGTTACGAAGAGATTGGACAGCAGTTTGTCTGAAATGGGATAGGGTTTCCTGCCTGAGCAGGGGGTTGGACTAGAAGATCTCTAAGGTCCCTTCCAAGTATTCTATTCTATTCTGCATTCTATTCTATTCTGTATTCTATTATGCATTCTACTCTCTATTCTATTCTATTCTGTATTCAATTTTCTCTATTCTATTCTATTCTGCATTCTATTCCGCATTCTTTTCTCTATTCTATTCTATTTTGTATTCTATTCTATTCTGTATTCTATTCTATTCTGCATTCTATTCTCTATTCTAGTCTATTCTTTCTGTGTTCAGTTTTCTCTATTCTATTCCATTCTGCATTCTATTCTATTCTATTCTATTCTATTTTCCAGGGAAAAGCTGTGTTGCCTCTCTGCCAGCTGTCATTCTATCTGTTTTTTCTGTTTAAAAATTCATTATTCCCCACAGAAGGAAGACCTGTTGTACACTTAAATATTTAACTAGATCAGCCTTCACTTTTGTCCATTTCCCCTTCCAACGTAGTTTACTGCACCGACGTGGATGAGACCCCTTGTTTTGGGCCCCCAGGAGCCACACAAACCTCAGAGGGATGCGGTAAGTTTGCGTCCAGGAGATGTGCGATTTTATTTCCTTCTGTAATTCCAGATTCTTGGAATGAGCGGCGTTATCCCTACATCGGGAAGCCTCTGTTATCGTCCTCTCTCTCTCTCTCTCTCTCTCTCTCTCTCGGGCTTGCTTTAGTTTTCCTCCTCCCTCCTCCTCGTCTTTCCTCGCCTGTCGTGTCTCAGGCTGTTTTAACCAGCCGCCGGCTAAGTAGGGAACGAGGAGCAGGATAAAGAAGGGGTTGCTAACTCGGACATGCACCGCTTCTCAAGCAAGGAGATTCAGTGTTTACGGTCTCCTGGGAAACTGGCAGACACGTGGCCGAGCCTGCTTTTCGCTCCCGAGAGCCCAGCCTTCTGCAGAGGGAAAATCTGGCCTCATTCACCCGCCGGTGGCTTCCATTTCTCTCCATCCATGGTTCTTCTTGCCTGCCACGTAGCATGTGAGTCTCATGGCTGTCCTTCAAGGGAAGAAGCAAAGGGTGGGAATTCTTGGGTTAGGAAAGAGACAGGAGTATCAAATTCACATAGACAAATTTAACGTTAGAGAAACGGGGTCCTTGGCTTATCTACAATGGCTGAAATGATGTCATTATTATTGTTGTTGTTGTTGTTGTTGTTGTTATTATTAATGCAGTCAGCCAAATGTTCAGACTGGGTTTGGCATTTTTGTCTACCCATCGAGTCCTTCCCAAGGACCTGGGATACAGAAATCTGGATGTTTGATGGGGTTACAGATATCGCTGCAGGATGGAAGCTGTTCCAAGTCAATCTTGCCTTCTGCAATTGACCGATGGCAAATTTGAGATTAGCAAACCACTTGTCTGAAATGCTATAGGGTTTCTTGCCTGAGCAGGGGGTTGGACTAGAAGACCTCCAAAGGTCCCTTCCAGCTCTCTTCTGATGGATAGTCCTTCCAGGGTTATAAAACCATGTCCACTTTTAACTTTTCTAGAGGTTCATTTCTTCCCATCTGCTGCTTTGTAGGGCAACAAAGAAAGCCGGTGTGAAGAATGAAGGTCCTTCGACTCTCTGGAGATCCCAAGAGGAAGCCAGAGATTTCTGCCAGGAAGGGGATCGGGAACTGGCCAACGGCGATCTCCCATTGGCCACCACTTACTATGTTGCCGGATTCCTTCTCTGTGCCCCCACGGCCGTCAACAAGATGGCGGCTCTTGAGAAGGAGGCCCGGGCCAACGTGGTCGCCATCTTGGAAAGCTGGTGTCAAGGAGAAAGCTCCATCCCAAAACTTGGGAACCCTCCTGTGAACCCCGCCCTGCTCAACGTCACTACGGCGGCGGCTTTTCTCCTGGCCTTTGACCCCCACAACGTGACCGCCTTGCTCTTCAAGATGGACGCTTTGCTGAAGGCGGGCCAGCCTCTCCGCGTGGCCAGCCAGTGTGACTCCCTGCTCGAGGCCCACCCTTGCGTGGAGCTGGTTCTCACCCGCGCTTTGGCCCTGGTGCTGTCCCAAACGCACTTCCAAGAGGGGGTCGCCGAGTATCTCCGGGCCTTTGCGGGAAGCCGGAACGAGATGGTGGCGTTCATGAGCCGTAGACAGAAAAGATACCTGGAGAAGATCATCCAGGCTTGTTTGGACGGCCTCTCGCTTCCAGACAGTGGTCTGAAGGAGACACTTAGCTGGAAAGATCTGTGCTATGACTTCCTGGCTGCCATAGCCCCCGAGGACCTCCGGGTCTGCCCCCTTCAGGCCCGGCATCTTTTCGAGCAACGTATGTACGAGGAATGCGTGTCCCTCTCCAGCAGGGCCTTAGAAGCCTTCTCCTCCAGCGGTTCATCGAACAGCCAAGAGACCTCAAGTCTTTTGATGCACCGAGCTGCGGCTTTCTTGGCTATCGGACGTCACGTCCCGGAGATGCTGAAGGACCTCGTGGCCGCCTTTGAAGCTCACCCCAAGCTGGCCAAGACCTCCTTTGAAGCCCTCTTCTCGCCAGGAGAAGCTGAAAGAGTTGAGAAGCACGCCCGGACAGTCCTGGAGGCGGATTTTGCCGCTTACAAAGATGCCATCCGGGTGAGGAACGAAGTCCGGAGCAACGGTGGCCAAGAGTTGATTCCTCCCGTTCTCCGTACACTCCATTTCCTGGTCCAGATCGCCCCGGAGTCTCTGCGAGAACTGAACGTCCGTCTAGCCGATTGCTACCTCTTAGAAGGCAACATCTCCGCCTCCTTGGAAGTTTGCGACCGTCTCCTGGCCTCTGCAGAAACCACGTACCGAAACACCCTCCTGGCCCAACGGGGCTTCTGCCACCTTCACGCCAACCGCCGCCCAGAGGCCCTTCAAGATTTCCAAGCCATCCTTGAAGATCTCGTACCGCATCCAAGCAGCTGTGTGAAGGCCCTTTGCGGGCGAGGTTTGATCCGAGCCTGGGCCGGCCACCCCTATCTCACCGCCTTGGATTACCTGACCGCCTGCAGACTCCGTTTTGAGGAAACCGGCTTTGCGATCAAGGCCTACGTCCCTTGGAACCAGAGAGGGTTCCTCTTGGTCACCCTTCAGGAGCAAGTCCAGAAGATGCTGGAAAGAAAGGAGACAGTCCGATGCAGGTCAGAGGACCGACTGGAGAAATCTGGATGGCTGGATGACCTCCAGAAAGACAGGTGAGTCAGCTAACTTGGAAAACCACCAGGTAATCATCCAAGGGTTCCTGTTGTGGCTCAGCGGTGGCTGGTGGAGCTGGTGCAGAGTCAGGCAGTAGTAGTAGCAGGAGGAGAAACCCAGGCCAGTCCTGGAGGCTGAGGAAAGCTCGGGCAATGGCTCTGCATCAGAGGCAGAGATGGGGCCTGGGAAGGCTGGCAGTCAGCAGCTGCCTTCAGGCTCAGACAGGCTTCAGGCTTCCTCCTTCCTTCCTTCCTTCCTTCCTTCCTTCCTTCCTTCCTTCCTTCCTTCTTCCTTCCTTCCTTCCTTCCTTCCTTCCTTCCTTCCTTCCTTCCTTCCTTCCTTCCCTAGCTCCCTCCATCCTTCCCTCCCTGCTAAAAAAATTTTTTAAACACGGAATCACCCCAAAACATTTGCAAGCTGCAGAGCCGAACCTCTGGATCTGCCAGCCTGCTCTCCTGAAAATGTACACCGCTCTCTCCTCACCTCTGTCCTTCTCTCCTCTTTCTCTACTCAGGGATTCCCTTGGGATCCACCCATTGGCTTCTCTTCTCTTGGAACTGGGCGTTTCTTGGCTGCTGTGTGCCGATGCTTTGTACCAGCTGGGTCGCCTGGAAGAGAGCCACCAGATCCTCCGGTTGGGTCTCTCAAAGGATCCAGAGAGATCCCCCGTTCTGGTCAGGCTGGCTCTCCTTCAACTGAAGAAAGGCCACGTGGACGGATGCAATCAGGTGAGTCCGAAGACTAGATCCCCAATTCCCTTAAATCGCTTTGCCAACTAAACTCCTGCTGGTTGAATTCCCAGATGAATTCATTGATAGGTCGCGTCTACCGGGCGTCTACTCGACTTACAACAGTTTTGTCAACTCATAAAATATTTCTCTGGTCTTTTTAGAGTTGCCAACAGAAAGGGAGGAGGGAGCAGTGCAGCTGCTTGCAAACCGAAACTGCATTCTGTAAATAGTTTTTCAAAGATAGTAACGAGGTGACTGAAGTTTCTGCCGTGCAAAATTCTAACTGGAGAGCATGATTGATGACTCTTGGCTATGGATGTGTCCCATTGGAGAATATGATTTATGACACATCCAGGGGTTGGAGCGGAAAACCAGGGTCATAGGCGACAAGGAATGATGGGCCTCAGAGTCAGCTGCACCCAGGCAGTGCTGGACATGTTAACTCCCAATAAATCCTTTCTAAGTTTTGGAAGTTTGGCTTGAGACTCATGATTTCAATGGGGGAAACTACTAGAGCCCTGACAAGTTCATTTAGTGACCGTTTCAAGAAAGAGGAAAGAGGGAGAAAGAGAGGGAGAGAGAGAGAGAGAGACCAAAGATAACAGTCAGATAAGTGAAACCCAAGTCCGGCCCAGAAGTGTAGCCTGAGAAAGCACCTCAAACACACCCCAAGATAGAGAAAGGGAGAAGGAACCACATCCAGACTTGCAAGATTCTGCTACTATCACCTCACACAGGTAGCCCTCGACTTACAACAGTTTGTTTAGCAACCTGTTGAAGTTACAACGGCCCTGGGAAATGACAAAAGTGAAGAAAGTATAGAAATTATTTGTGGAAAAGCTAGTCCAGGAAATATTGACCAGCGCCCAGCAGAGGGCGCTCCTGCCCTGGGAACAGGAGAATCCCCTTTGCATAAGAAGCACATATACTGTCTAGTACAGTATCCTCACCTATATATCCTATGTCCCTTTCCTCCAGGTGGATAATATAAAAATAAATTTCAGATAAAGAACCAGTTAAAGGATCTTGTGTTTCGAATGGACAATATCACAATGGCCTTATAGGTTTTGATCCTGGCCATTTTAGCATCAATTCGAATAAGAATAAGAATACAACGTGACGCCAAGCACGTTATTCAAATGTCCGCTATGATTTGGTTCGAATGAAACGTAGACGCCGCTGGACTCCTAGTGATTCTGGGCCCCTCCTGAACAGGGCTGGCCCTCCCTTTAAATGATAGCGGTGGAAGGAACTTAGAGGTCATCTGTTCTAGGCTAGTGTTAACCGTCGTCCGTAATTCTCTCTTTTTTCCCCCCCTCTTTTCCCCCCCA